AGACAAAAATAGAAGAAAAAAACCTGCCAACTTAAAATGGTTATCAGCCTTTGTCTAGCTTATTAGTTTAATCATTACCTAGAGTAGAACAAAAAACTAAAAAGTTTCCATTTCAAGATCAAAGAGTATAATTCTGGAAGCAACTTTGGCTTTAATTCTCAAAATTCTTTAATTATTTTCAAAAAAGCTAATATAATTATTATGTATAGTTCTAAATCTATGCATGCCTACATGTTAAATGTCTTTTAAAATCAACACATTAGGATGCCTTTAAATTTAGAATCTTATGCCTACATGTTAAATGTCTTTTAAAATCAACACATTAGGATGCCTTTAAATTTAGAATCTAAGTCCCATGAGAAAGATTTATAGTATTTTGTTCACTGGTGTGAACAGTGCTAGCAAAATGCAGGTATTCATTATAAACCCCTGCATACTGTTCAAGTCAGTACAAACACATAGTATGTCCACACAGACAAGGACCCACACAACCTCAGGTTCAACTTGAAGTCAGACTTGATATGATCACTGCTGCAGCCTTCACACTCAGGGTTTCACAGATCAACAAAAGCAACTAGTAAATTAGGCGTGGTGGTACACACCTGTAATTCCAGCACTCAGGAAGATTCTCCCAGGCTGAGGGAAAAGGGTTGCTGTAAGTTTGAGACCAGTCTGGGATACACAGTGAGATCCTGTCTAAATTAAATAAATAGAATGTCAAACCACAAAAATGTCAAAAACACAACCAAACTTTTCAACAAACACAGACTACACTTTTTTCCTCAGGCAATCTAATTCAAAGAGATATACTTTTATTTTATTTATTTATATTTTTATTTTGAGATGAAGGCCAAACCCAGGGCCTCGGGCTTGCTAGGCAATCATTCTACCACTGAGCTAAATTCCCAGCTCCTTGAAATCTTTTCTAAAAAATAAACTGTGGATGGTGGCACAGTCTCAAGCTTACTGCCTGCCAGACTATACAGCAATGACCAGTCTCAAATACAAAAACACAACAAGCAACCACAGCAGCATGCACAGGAGGATGAAGTGGGAGGACACCACTTGAATGCAGGAGTTCAAAAACAGCCTAGCAACAGAGCACAACCTGGCCTCAAATAAACAGACAAATAGGAATCTCACTCAAACAGCAAAGAACCTAAAAGATTTCATTTCTAGTCTTACAAAGCAGGTCCAGCTCTTCCTTCATTAGCTGGCCTAACTGTGCTACAAGAATCCACTAAGAGATACTTCCCAGGACTCCTACAAATGACCTCCTGCTGCTGCAGTTACTACTCACAAAAATCACAATGCAAATATTTCAGCCTCCTCCATTAAAAGTCATCATGAGCCAGGCTGGTAGCTCAGCACTCAGGAGACTGAAGCAGAAGAGTCACAAGTTCTAAGCCTCCCTGGTCTACATAGAGTTTCAGTCGTGAGATCTTATCAAAGAACAAAACAAAGTCAACATGGACCTTTCACTGTCACTGAGTCTGTTGTGTCTTTTTACACGGTCACTCTTTCAGCTTTTGTTTATCTACTACCTCACTGCAACTTGTAACTAGTTTTCTTCTCCCCTCCACTTTAGTCTTCTCTCTGGGACAATGAGAACCAGAATGAAACAGTCCTTAACTTCTTTCTTTTTCTTTTCTTCAGCAACCCTTTGAAAACTCTGTTGAAGCTGTAGGTGACTTCTCCATAAAAATGCACGTTGTTACAAAACAACTTTTTAAAAATTATTTATGGGTTTGGAGCGATGGCTCGATGGCTCGTGCTTAAGGGCACTAGCTACTCTTCCAGAGGTTCAGTTCCCACACCCACCAGTCAGTTCCTGACCATCTGTGACACCAATTCCAGGGAACCTGACACCCTCCTCAGGCCACCTTTGGCACCAAGTACACACACACATACATGCAGGCAAAACACTCAAACACATACAATTTTTATTTAAGTTTGAAAAAAAAAACCTTTTTTATAATAGAAAAAGATTCCACTTAAACATTCACCAATAGGTGGCTAAATAATGCTATACCTATTTAATAAAATTCCATACAATTACAGTAATATTAAAGACATTCCCTGTTCTATCATGCATGTATTATTAAACAAATAAAAAAAAGGAACTTACAAGGCTAGGGAGATGGCTCTGTGGCTATGAGTGTTTGATCTGCATTGAGGACTTAAGTTCAAATCTCTATATAAAAAGTCAGGCACAGCTACAGGTGTCTGTTACCTCACACGGGAGGATTCTCAGATCTTGCTGACCAGTCAACCTAGCAAAATGAAGAACTTCCAGGTCCATCAGAAACCTCATCTCAAAGCAATAAGGCACAGAAGAAGCTGTCCTCATTTCAAAGCAATAAGGCTTAAAGCAACCTCCTTGGGGAATGAAGAATCCTTTCACAGGGATTGCCTAAGACCATCAGAAATCCTATGGACTCTCAATTCATAACAATAGCAAAAATACAGTCATGAAGTAGGATGAAAACAATTTTATGGTTGGGGGGTCACAACACAAAGGTCACAGCTCTAGGAAGGTTTAAGCCACTGGCATAGAGGAAGGGTTCTAGCGTCTTGCTCTGTCCTCTGTGTGTCCATGTAACATACATACATACAACATACAGAACCTTTTGTATAAAAAAGCCAAAAGGTAAACTTTAATTTTAATAAAGATTTCATATAGATGAACAAATTGTGAGAGAGTAAACAAAACACAAGAAACAGGGAAAATTCAGAGAAAACACCTTTTCACCTTCTATTTGCCTGATTCATAAATGATACGTTTTGGGGGGGGGGGTTATTTTGTTTTGTTGAGACAGAGGCCCATGTAGCCTGAAAGTTATTATGTAGTCAAGGAAGATCTTGAATTTAAGATCCTGTCTCAACTCTACCTCCCAAAGACTGGGATGACAGGCTTGTCCCACCACAGTCAGCACAATTTACTACCTTTTTATTTATTTATTTGGGGTATGTCCACATGCCACTACACCCATGTGGAGGTCAGGGGACAACTTTGCAGTCATTTCTCTCCCTTTACTATGTGAGTCCTGGAACTGAACTTGTCAGGTGTGGCACTGCTGGTGCCACCTTGCTGCCTCCTCCATTAAAGTGTTAATTTAAAACATATTGTGTGTAACTTCAGTAAATACCCACTGAAGTTCCCAAGCCCTATTCAGCAATTCTTTTTTTTTTTTTTTTAGGTTTTATTTTTTGAACAGCTTCTCACCTAGTAGGTAATAACCTTGAATTCCTGACCCTCTTGAGTCCAGTTCCCAAATATACTGAGATTCCAATTTTGTATCACCATGACTGGTTCAACAGTATTTTGCTAGTCTTCTAAAATTACATACCCAAATAAGCATATGGTTGCATATACTCGATGATCCAAAGGAAATTTAGGGAAAATACTTTTCATTATGACCTGCATATAATTGGAAGATACTAAATAACCCAACAAATCCTATGGACTCTCATTTTAAATCAATGTCCTTAACCACTAATAGCCTGTCCTTTATGAAAAAAAATCTTCTTTAAGGGGAAAAAGTAGACACAAATCAACAAGAAATATTCTCTTTCATAGTTCAAAGCAGATATTCCACAACTGCTCCTAGAGATATAGGAATAAAACTGCTATCCTATTTGACCATACAGTCAATGTAGTAGTAGTAGAGACCAGAGAAATTGTCTTATATGTTTATAATCTCAGAAATTAAGGCAAACTAAATTGAGCAAGAATCAGAAGGAATTGGACTTTCATCATTAGGCAAGTTATTTAATCTCTCTGGGCCTCAGTCTCATCTATGAAACAGAAATAAAGGTACAGCTTTCACAAGAGCACTGTCATGTTCTAAAAGGAATAAAAGAAACACAGAAAGTAAAATACAGACCATCTCAACTCTTAGAAAAGCAAAGTAGGTGTCTTTGGCAGATGTCTCTGCTCAGAACCGAAACAGATGCATTCTGGATCCTGTAGTTTCTAGGAACTGCACTTTCATACACAGCAATGCCTGCCTTCTCCTACAGAAAACAACGTAAGGCAGAATTCCTAACATAAAAGGGTTAGCAAACGACATTTCCTGATTATACATTTCTTGAAAATCTCAGTTGTAGAAGTGTTGCCTGGGCGTGCCCCAAAGAAGTCTAAATCTTGGTTTATGTTACAAACAGGATTTTCTGCCTCAGACTTCAGCACCAACAAGTGACGGGCTGCCACTGCTGAGGAAGGAAAAGGAGTTCAGGGCAAGAGTCCTACAACAGAACTTTAAATTGCCAGCATCATAGACGGAAACCTACGCAGAAAGACAGAAAACGGCCCCAGCCAACCAATCTTCGCCTCCAAACTTAAATCCCATCCTGCTTTTTCATCGAGCGCTACTGGCGTTTATGATTAGTGTTATCACAAATATAAATAATGGCATTTATCTCATCCTCACTATGTTCCAGGCTCTGCGATAAGCATGTATTTTTCAAGATTGCATGAGAACTACACATGCGAGCTCATCCTCTAGCCCTCTCTGCTCTCAAGTCTGCAAAGCCCCTTTCACAGATTCAAACTCAATCTGTTCCCCGAGCCTGGGATACCCAACACCCGTCGCTCACCCTTTGGAACACAGGAAAACACATCCTTCTTCACACACGACCCCAAGCCCTCCGCCTACCACTAAAACAAGCGCTTCTGGGATCCTCCGGGGCCCCTCCCCCTCCACGCACCAACTTCAACATGCCCTTAACTTGTTCCAAGAATTGTTTCCTTCCAAACTTCTGACTTACGCAAGGCGCGGGGTCCCTTCACTGCCCCTCCAAATGCAACACGCCCGCAGTTCGCTCCAAAGTTCAACATTCACCAACACAGACTGCGCCAGGGCAGAACCCGATCGCGACCCCAGGAGAACACTCCACACCCGCTCCAGTAGGGCCCGGGATCCTCCACCCCGCTCACCAGGCCAGACCCGGGTGGCTGGGCCTGGCTGGGACCCCAAGGGGGCGAGGGGAGGCTCCACCTGGCTCCGCGCGCGGCTCCGGGTCCGGCCTGGGCCCCGCGGCGGCCGCGCCCCCGTCCCGGCGCGAGCGGCAGCGCTCCGGCTGTCCGCGACGGGCGCGCTCGCCCAGCAGCTCCGAGGCGGCCTGGCCGTCGTCGCGGGCCCGACGGCGGGCCCAGCCCGAGCCCCGGGGACGGCAGCGACGGCAGCCCGGGCCCGCCGCGCGTGAGGCGCAGCCTCGGCACCGCGAGTGGCCGCACGGCAGGGCCGCCACTTCCCCCGGGGTCTCCAGGCACCCGGCGCAGCCCGACTCCCCCGGTCGTGGCGGTGGCGGCAACACTAACAGCGCGGGGCTGGAGGCCGGGCCCGGAGCCCCGGGCTGCGCTGCCGCCATCTCGTCACAGCGGCCCCGCCGGCCCCGCCGACTCAGAGCCGCCGTGGCTGCCGCGGAAGAAGCCCGAGTGCTCGGACCTGCCGCCGCCATCTTGTTTCCCGTTTGAAGGGAGAGTCCGTTGCGCTGGGAGAAGAGTAGAGGGCGGGGCCGTGCGCGGCCGGCAATCTATCTGCATATTCATGAGGGGGCGAGGACCTAGCCGACTTGGGGACGTTCCTCCCTGAACCTCTAGTTTAGCAGAAGACTGCTCATTAATATTTAATGTTATTCTTTATATATCCGGTCTTCAGCTCGCCCTCCAGTCTTGGCTGCTTCTAGCACTGAGTCAAGAGAGGCTGCGAACTGAATTTATTTGGAAATTCTGAGCGACATGGAGCTTTATAAAGTAATTGCATCTGTGTAAGCTTTCCGGAAACCCGCCTAAGTGGCTCATTGGGTGAGGGCCCGTGCTTTTTCTTCAGGACCACGACAGCTTGTCGTGATTGAAGCGAGGCCTACCGTGACCAAAAGTCTTGAGTGAGTGTTGAAATAACAGCCCTGGCCAGCTCTGGTCGTCTCACCCTTCTCTCCACATCCTTCTCAGATTCCTTCCTTGTTCCATACTTAAATATAGAAACTCTCCCAAGCTTGCTCCTCGGCCCCTTCTCTTCTCACTCTGTATGCTCCCTTGGTCCCCTCACACTTGCTTCCTTCTGAAACCCCATGTCTGCAGCTCAGAGTTACTGAATCCATCTTTATGGGAACATGCTTGGATGTCTACATCCCTCATATCACGCTCCTTCCAAATAGCCCTTCTTATTTCCCACATTCTATTCACAGAACCATCTCCACAGGTTCTCAGGCTCCCAGCCCTGGCGTCTTCAACTTCATTATCACCTCCCATAGTCCTGCCATTTTCTGGCCAAAATGGCTCCTTTCCAACCTGTTCGTGGCTCTTCATTCCCTGGTCCCACTCCATGATTTCTTTCTCATCATCTCTTACCTCTCTGGCAGCAGTGACTTCTGCACAGTGACCTCCCATACAGCCCCACTTCCTCCAAGCCTTGTTCCCTGGCTCTTAGAGTTCATTCCTAAAGGCTGCTCTGCCCATACCGTCCCGTTTAAACAGGGAGAACTCGCTCTGGAGACCAGGCTGGCCTCAAACTCACAGAGATACACCTGCTTCTGCCTGCCCCTCCCTAGTGCTGGGATCAAAGCCACCACTGACAGGGGTACTCAGACTTTGTTGTGATTTCCCTTTCTGGATCCAGAGGATTTAGGAAAAAGAATGGCTCCCCCTGATGGAAAGATGGCTCTTCTGCAGGACTCCAACAGGTCTCCAGCTGTTGCCCTAAGGTACATCTGGACCAAGATGTTATCTTTATAGAAAACGGGAGGCTTTGTAAGGACATTAATTTTTCAGTTAACGCTTGGTGTCAAGCTGGCACTCGTAGAAGGAGGCATCAGAGGCCCCAGGTTCCATGAGATTATGCAGAGTCGGTGATAACCAATTCAAACAATTCAAAGCAGCGTGATTGGTCAAAGTCAGAAGCCAGAAAAAATTTAAAAAGCCATGGAGTCCCAAGATGAGAAGCAGGTGGTTAGCGAGGAAAGCCAGCAACTGAAGAAGGGTCAGTGAGGAGCTGGAGCAAACAATGTGTCCAGACAGTCGGAAGCCCAGACAGACACGGAAATCCGGTCTCGGCCGGGCTGTCCCTTATCCACGGCTCTGCCTCACTTCCTACCCACTCGAGGTTCTTGGGACATTTTACATGGTCCTGACAAGGTAGACTTGTACAGAGAGTGTGCTGGCTAGTTTTCTGTCATCCTAATACTAGCTAGAGTCAGCTAGAGAGGAGGGAGCCTCAATTGCAAGGAAAAAACTAAAAAGCCTCCATAAGATGGGCTGTAGACAAGCCTGTAGAGCATTTTCTTAATTAGTGGTTGATGTGAGAGGGCACAGCCCAGGCTTGGTGGTCTGACCAGGTGGTCCTGGGTTCTATAAGAAAGCAGACATCCAAATGGATCAAAGACCTCCACATAAATCCAGCCACACTGAAACTTTCAGAAGAGAAAATGGGAGGCACCCTTGAACGAATTGATACAGGAGACTGCTTCCTGAACATAACTCCAGTAGCACGGACACTAAGACGGACAATTAATAAGTGAGACCTCCTGAAACTGAGAAGCTTCTGTAAGGCAAAGGACACAGTCAGCAAGACAAAAAGGCAACCCACAGATTGGGAAAAGATATTCACTAACCCCACATCTGATAGAGGGCTGATCTCCAAAATTTACAGAAAACTCAAGAAGCAAGTCTCCAAAACACCAAAGGGTCCTATCAAAAAAATGGGGTACAGAACTAAATAGAGAATTCTCAATAGAAGAGACTAAAATGGCTGAGAGACACTTGAGAAAGTGTTCAACATCCCTAGCCATCTGGGAAATGCAAATCAAAACAACTCTGAGATACCATCTCCTGTCAGAATGGCTAAAATCAAAACCACCAATGACAGTTTATGCTGGAGAGGATGTGGAGAAAGGGGACATTCCTCCACTGCTGGTGGGAGTGCCAACTTGTACAGCTACTTTGGAAATCCGTATGGAGATTCCTCAGAAAAATGGGAATCATTCTACCACAAGACCCAGCAATTCCACTCTTGGGCATATACCCAAAAGATGAAAATTCATACAACAAGGATGTCTGTTCCACTACATTCATAGCAGCATTATTTGTAATAGCCAGAACCTGGAAGCAACCTAGATGCTCCTCAACTGAAGAGTGGTTAGAGAAAATGTGGTACATTTACACAATGGAGTACTATTCAGTGGAAAAAAACAATGGAATCTTGAAATTTGCAGGCAAATGGATGGCACTAGAAGAAACCATCCTGAGTGAGGTAACCCAGTCACGAAAAGAGAAACATGATATGTACTCACTCATTTATGGATTTTAGACATGAATCAGGGGAGTGCCAGCATACAATCCCACTGCCAGAGAGTCTAGAAAACAGAACCTTCATCCAGCGACTGGTGAAAGCAGAGGCAGACACCCACAGACAAACACTGAACTGAACTCATGGAATCCAGTGTCAGAAAGAGAGAACTAATGGGCAAAGGAGTTAAGAGTGGGCTGGTTTAACCCACAGAAACAACTGACCTGAACAAGGGGAAGCTCTTGGACTCCAGATTGATGGCTGTGTGGAAATCATGGGACTGAACCAGACCCCCTGAATGTGGATGTCAGTGAGGAGGCCTAGGTTATCTATGGGGCCTTGGGTAGTATTTATCCCTGGCGTACAAATAGACTTTGAGTGCTCATGTCACAATATGGGAGGCTCTTTCAGTCAGGACTCTTGGGGGAGGGCCTAGGCCCTGCCATGGATGAAATGACAGTTACTGGAGATCCACCATGGAGTGCCTCACCCTCCTTGGGGATCGGAGTGGAGATTGGATGGGGGACTGGCGGACCTGGTGGGAAGAGTGGGGGAGGAGGGGAGGGAGAGGGAGCTTGGATTGACATGTGAAACAAGCGTTGTTTCAAACCTAAATAAAAAAAAATTAAAAAATCCATCTTGATGGATTTCTCCTGTGATGAATATGAAATGACAAAAAATAAATAAAAAAGCAGACAGAGCAAGTCAGGGGAAGCAGGCCAGTAAGCAGCATCCTCCATGGCCTCAGTGTCAGCTCCTTCCTCTGGGTTCCTGCCTTGAATGCTTGACTTGGCCTCCTCAGTAGACCCTCACTGTGACTCGGCCAAAGGAACCCATTCCTCCCCAAGCTGCTTTTGGTCATGGTGTTTCATCACAGCACTAGTAACCCTAACTAAGTCAGAAAACAAGCCCAGTTAGAAATAGCTCCTTCTCGTGAGCTGCTCCCTCAAGTAGAAATTCAGTCTGAAGGGTCTGTTCACCACTGGCCTGGGACAGTGCAGCATGCTTTCTTGGACACAAAGAGAACCAGGAAATTTTCTTTTCCACAAGGAAAAGTAAGATCTGAGTATCACTGGACCAGGTGCCAGATCTGATGTTGGGCCTGGTCGTTTGCATGGACTCACTTCCTTCTTTCTGCCCTCTGCTTCCCCGAGTTTGAAACAATGGTCCTAGAATTCATCAGTTCTCAACCTGGGAAGTTTGAGTATGTGCACATGAGCGAATGGCAGCCCTGGGGTTGCCTCAGATCTAAAGCTGAGGTGAAGGATGCCAGGGTCTGTGAAGTTCATTCTCAAGGCTGTCAGAATTGGAACACAATCTCAGAGGAAAGACTGTTAGGACGGATACATTCCAAAGTCTCTTCTTCCATCTCCTGAATTCAGAAGACCAATTCCCAGTTTCCAGTCCCTTCTCTCCTCTACACTGTTGTTGCCAACGTAATCTTACTAACACAGTGTTGGGGATGGAGGGCCGGCAGATCTGTGGAGAGCACTCCTGATGAGAGCAGCAGGAATGAGAAGAAGATGGTTCTAAAGTTTCAAGTGTAAACCGGTGATCACGGCTGACAAGCCAGCAAAGAAAAGCAGCTGTGGAGGGGCGCCAGCCAGGGAGGAAGAGCGAGGCCTGGCAGGCATCGTGCGTGTTATTTCTTTGCCTTTACCTAAATCGCACTTCTGCTGGGAAATGCCTCATTTTATATGTATTTCTGACAAGAGCAGGGATGAAATAGGGAAGCAACTAACTCCTCCCTGCCCAGAGAAGGCAGGACAGGACGCGGGCCTTGGGCTCTGCCTCCCATACCACTCTTAGAACTCTGAATCTTCCTTGACAGATTTAGAATTGTTCATAGCAACGAAGACAGTAGGTATCCCACAGCAAGGGCTCTTGGATGAGAACGGGGGAGGGCTGGTGTCCTTACCGTGGCGATGACAGCCACACTGGATGGTTGGTGAGGTAAGGGCTGGGCCGTGCGCAGTGCAGCAGCCTCTCTCCAGTTGACTCAGTCCTTCCTTAAGCCGCTGTCAGTTCCTCTCATTTGCCCTGCAATTCTCTGACCCAAACACTGGCTTGTTTTGAAGCGTTGTCGAGTCTGGTTGTTAAGGGTGCTTTACAGATTATGAAATGATACACGGTTAGGCCAAGCCCGTAGGACAGAACAAGTCCAAACAGTGTAACCATCCTGGCGGGAATGAAGG